CCCCCCTTAATCCACGCCTGAACTCGCGTCACACTCCCGTTAGGTTGTTTCATTTTGAGGGGTCAGGACGCCAAATTTTCTGAAGCGAGGCTTTTTTGAAAGTTTATGTCATGCTGATACTCATGGAAAAAACCAGGGGTCTGTGCGATGAAGGGAACCCGGCGCTCAAAGTTTTTTGGGTGTTTTGGCGGGTATCACGACCGACATATTCCCGGGCCCGCTGTGCGGGGGCACCGCCGCCGCCGACAGTGCCCGTTCCTGTGGTGAATTTGAAATTACTCACGTTTGGAGAACTTATAGCTTGCACGCTGAAGAAGTTCACACTCGTCTCGATGGGTACCATCGAAGTCACATTCCGACTTGCAGAGCGGAAGGCCGCAATCAGAGCATTGGACGAATGGCGCCACGCCAAAAACTCCTATTTCTCGGCAGCAACCACGACACACCATCTAAGAGAAAAAGCAATATTTTCGGATCACCGCAGCCCGAGTCGCAGCCCTTTAAGGGAGGGGATAACTTTGTGCCTACAAAAACATTTCTAGACAGTCCCTAAAAGAATGTCTCCACCAGAGGGAGAAAACGTGCCCCCCCTCCTCCTTTCCTCGTTTGTGCACATCCAGACCACAAACGATTTGGTTCGTGAATTTCACACAATCGTTACACAATCAACTCACAACCTGAGGACTTTTTAAAATCTGTCTCAATATTTATCCGACATGTAACAATCAGAGACAACCACACACAATCGCAGAAAACACACAATAATGCACAATTTGAAACAATCACCCACAATCTGAAGCAATGATCTGTCTGGAGTAGAATCATGTGTATACTTTTTGGCATGTTCCACATCCCTCGCGCTAATTAAATTAGGTTCTTCCGTTTTAATTGTTCCCTGCATTCATCTGCATTTTTACTTTCCCTCATGCTAAACCGACTACCGGTAACTCTGCGTTTCCAATACAGATTGTGAGGTCCTGCTCGCTTCTGCGGCACACTTACCCAGAGAGAGTTGCTGGCGAGGTTGGGAAAGACCACCGCGGGCAGCTCCCTGAAGATGACGGTGCCCGGAGGGACAACCTTGGTGGCCACCATCACGCCGCTGTCCCCCGCGAGCTGCACGGCCCCGCATCCAGCCTTGTGTCGCAGCCAGTCCTGCCGCTGGTGCTGCGACCCGCAGTAGTAGTCAACGTAGCAGCGCGAGCAGGCCTTGCCCGGGCCCGCGCACACCCGGCACGGACCATCCGGCTCCACTGCAGGGAAATAGGGCAATAAAGCATTCCGGTAAAGCAGAAATGCAGAAGAATGCGGGAATGAGAAAACAGAAGCAACCACGTTCAAGCAAAGTGCTTTCTGTTTTGTTGTTTCCCGCAATTCGTCTTTCCAGCTTTGCCAGGAGGGGCCCGGACATCTCGCTGCAAGTAAACCTCGCCCCGATTTTAGGGTGAGTTCAACTTTCCAAGGGGAAACTTTCCCTTTTGCCGCTTTTCCATGCGTGTTTTTTGGCAGATGATACACACAACTGAAATTAATTATGCTTTACTTAACTATGTATCATTGCTTATACTCTCATGCGGAGCGCTGAGAGGCACCAGGCATGACGTCATCCAATAGTGTGTGTAGGGGCGCGCGATGCGGATCCCGCCCGCCGTGCCACAGCCAGACGCCCCCTCTCCCCTCCCTTCTACCCCCTTCCCTCCGGCAGACTGAGAGTGTGTCCGAATTCTCCAATGTGTCGACACTTCTCGACACAAGTTGTGTCGAGGAGTGAAGCGGGGTAGCGTGAGCGGCCAACCCGACCAATCACGGCTCACTCGACACTACTCCCCTCCACTCCTCGACACAACTTGTGTCGACACATTGGAGAATTCGGACACACTCTCGGCTCGCCGCTCGGCTCGAGGCGCAGCTCGTGGCTCGGCTCGGACCGTCTCGGCTGAGGAACACGCGCGGCGCGGTAATTCAAACTCTAACATAACTATGAAGAGACAGAACTAAGTGAATTCAGAAACATTATTTTCAAACCATGTCTCTATTAAAAAGTATCACTCGCAAACTGTCTCTACGTCCCTCTTCAAACTGACTTAGTCTTAGACCGAGTCTTAGACCCTTCAAAACATTACAAAGTATAGGAGACGCAGAACACAACCCAAATCTTTTTAAGCATGAATACCTAATTAAATGTGAATTAAGATTTGTAAATTATCTATATACTATACAAGTAATGCGGAACGTGATCTTCTACTGAAATATTATGGACTGGAATAATTCTTGAATTCGTGTTATCTGCTTTCACGATCCGTTCCTGAACGGAACTTTTTTCCATAGGCAGGTATTGAAACTGCAAGTTGGTCTCCACGGAACAATTCTAAGCCCATGGCAGGGGCGTACTGGCCAGGTCGGGGAGTCGGGGATCCCCGACTGGGCCCCTCTTCGGCCGGGGCCCCCCGGGCCCCTCTGGGCCCCCGCAGGGGGCCCAAAAGAGTTCCCCGATAGGGTGATAAATGTTCAATGGCCGTTCAAAAGCACACTTTTGGTGCCATCCAGTGCCAGTCAGAACGCATTGTGCGCTCTACAAACCCAAAAATTCGCGCTCGTAGCGCTCGCACAGTTCTTTTTCCCTGACCCAGATATTATGAAAATAGTTTTGTTCCCGATGCAGGAAAATTTGCAATGAAATTCGGGGCAAAAATAGGCTCCGGTGATTTGTAGACCGTAAATAAATTGTGTAGAAATACCCCAAAATTTTCTTGCTCGCTCCGCTCGCGAAATTTTACTGCTAAGCCCCATACCCCGCCCTGCCCTCACTTTTTTGTCTATGTACCTAAAGGACAACATGGTGCTTTGCTGTGTGCTCAATCACAAAAGATGTGAGGAAATACAAAATTTCCCCCCTTTTTTTACGGCAAAGTCGGGTAAAAAACTTAGTTGCCCCTGTGAGGTAGGCAATTCGGGGGCCCTTTGGGTGCATCCCCGACTGGGTCCTTGACCCCCCAGTACGCCCCTGGCCCATGGACAACTTTACCACGGTAAAACAAAAAGCAGAGTCGGTTGCTTAGGTCAAAGTCAGTCTTACAGATGATAACGCAGGATGTTTTAGAGGTGTCAGAACCGAGGCGAAGCCGAATCCGCTGTCTTTTTGAACCTAACCTAACCGTTTACAAGATAGCAGGAAAAAAATGCTCAAATTTGAATGAGATTAAATTAGCCCTACTAAAATTCGACCTAGATGCTATAGACACCAAATTTTAAAGCGATATTCCATTAAACACAGTTTTACTACAGCTTTCTTTACTTTCATGGGAATTTGTGTTCACATGGAGTTAAGACCAATTCCATGTAGCGCATGGGATTTCCCTAATAGAAGCGAAACTCCCATAACGCATCCAAAACAGTCCCACATTGATCCCTCCCGTAGATAGGGATTAGAATGGGTTTTGGGACTAGTTCCAAAGCCCTTTTTACTCCCAAGCCGCTCTCAGTCCCACTGAAATCCCTGAGGGTGTATGGAAGTCTCCTGAAATCCCTCTCCGCCGCAGCAAACTCCCCTGCGAAAACCCGAATCCACTGGACAGGAGGCGGAGAGCGGAGCGCCAAGTCTGACGAACGGCATCCAGTCAATTTATTGATTTGATTTATTTTATCCAAATAAATATTGCTGTTGCTGACGCAGGTGTGATCAACAAAGGCGGCCTCGATAAAATTTGTACGAGTGTTGTCAAGGGCCCTTGGCGCCGTAACGGTAGGCAACCAATCCTACACCCCTGCATCGGTGATGACGTCACGTCGCGCCCACCCGACATCTGCTCGCTGAGACGACCGCGACGACCGCGCGCCCCGCGGACAGTTCGGACGGCACGAGAGTCGGTTAGCCGCCAATGTGAATGTGTACTGCAAAGTATTGATGTTGTGGTAAGTGTGACACTCAATGCAACACGAGCCTTTCTTCAAAGTTACGGTTTCAGATTTGCCAGCGACATTCTCTACCATTCCGAATTGCATTTGTTACATTTGTTCTATTTGATTATGTGTATTGTTTAATTTTGTATTAAACATGTCAGAATCGAATATTTTGGTCGTTGCTTGCTTAGAACAGCCAGGACTTCCTAGTAGCACTTTAGACACTTCACATCTCTTTGATAAAAAGTACGTGTGACTCATGTGATATGTACTTATTGCACTATTTTGGTTATCTCTTGTTGGCCCTTGGCAAACCGTTACTTCAAATGAAAGGCAATCGTCAAGTTTATGATTAATCAGTGCGTGATCATTTACTTGCAGGTTCTGCTGGTAAAGCATGAATAGGACACCCATAGTGAACTTTCCCCACTGCATCCAAGGAGAGAGTATAAGAGAGTATGTCGCAGGTTGATACAGGTGCACTTCCGGCAAGCATACATCATTATCTATATTGAATACCCGCTACAGGGATGATAATGTTCGGCTGAGGACATTGCGCCAGGTCACCAAAGGTAAATTATTTATCGCTTTGATGTTAGTATCTGGAACTATTCTAAACTGAACTCATATCAATCATTTATATTATGCCAACAGATGTGCCTCAGCTGAAAGAATCTTTGAGAAAAACTTGTGCTGCAGCAGAGAAAGATAATGAAGAGGTCAGGTCACTGAATAAAGGTAAGATTAATTTTACACAACTGATTGATCATTATTTAAACTAAATTTTTTTCTCTTTGGAGCTTCCTAACCCTAGCCGTGATTCCAATTGTAGAATTGAGAGACACATCCGGCAAGATTAGGAGACTTTCGGAGTTGGCTGACAACGCATAAGAACTATCTAGGAGCAGTCTGCTGCTCGCCCTAGTGTAGGATTATAGCTGTAAGTCTCGTATGTAAACTTATAGTTTATTAACAGGTTTACTTTATAAATGAATCCTCTTATCATGAAACTTTGTTTTAGGTGCACCAGATCTTATTGAGACACCACCTCAACCACCTGCCAGGCAAGAGCAGAGATTCAACCGGCAGCTCCTTTCTATGAGTAAGAATATATCCTATTTGGCAACTCTAGAACAGTATTACTTCACATTTGTCATTTTACCTATTAATACTCCCTATATGTGACCAACAGCCTCCACCTAATGCCAATAATCGGGCAGGCCCAGAGGCAGAAGGAGGTGCTGATCAAGATCCCCGGCACATCCACAAGCTTAGTGTGAAGATGAAGAGCAACTGCCTGCTGCAGCTGGCTCCAGTTGCACAACAGCCACGAATCCAAGTTCAGCAGGGTGCTCGCCCAAGAATATGAGGAGAGAATGTGAGTTACAAAGTTATTTACACTGCATACCAGTTATTTTGTTATCTTGTGCAAGGTCAGGTTCTAATCTGGTCAATATTTTATTTTACCAGGATATCTTCCTTGATTTTTCTCACAAAATACTGTGTCAATACCTTAATTCTTTTACCATCCAAATTGAAAGACAAAATGAAGAAAGTGTGCTCCAATGCTGATCAGAGTTACAAGAATTTAACTCTGGAAGTGCAGGAGCAAATACTGGAAGAACAGAGGCAGAAGGACTAAAACCAAAGGCCTGCTTGATTTTACTCAATGTTTAACAATTTAAGTAAAGAATAGCTAGGATCTTTTATAATTTTATGACTGATTAATGTTAAATGCTCAATTATTGATATTCTGATTAATGTTTTCTATCCACTGTTTTTCTAATTCATTTTATATTCTTCTTTAGTTGTAAATTACTATTTGTAATGCTAAAGTAATGTTTAAGATTTTTTTAAACAGCTAAAAACTACCTCACTCTCTAAATAGGGTTCATTCCATCACTCTCATAAGAGTAATGTTCCAGTCTCAAACAGGTGTATTTATATTTATGTATATGAAGTCAAATTTTACGTAACACACTGCTCTGTAAATTTTCAAATAAGTACAGTAGAAGCAAAATAAGGGTAGGGGTCTTTGGACCACCCTGTATCTGAAATGTCTTTATCTCATACTAAAAATTATCAATATTTTATTTAATACAGCATGACTTCATATTTGAAAAGCTGGTAAAGAAAACATGGCACTGAATGTAGATACTTTATTTTTTGCTACTAAAGGCCCAGTTGTATTCTGCAATGTCCCTCGCTAACTCCCCATAATAGTGTTGTCTCTGACCAAAATGAATAAAAATAATTCAATATTTTGATTTGGTATCTATATTATCCTTATTCTAAGCTGATCATTATCAAACCAGCAACTTACATTGAGAAACAAAAATGACACCACAACTTAGTTTCAAAAATCTACAAATAGTCTGGCACGTTTAAGGTAGTAACAAGATTTCTATCATTTCCAAGGAAATTTCGACTTGAAGTAGTCATCACAATTCTGTATTCAAAAGGAGTGCGTAGTATTAAATAGGGTTCTAAAAACTCTTCTGAGCTGCATATGTCCTTTCATTTCTTATTAACCAAGTTCAAAATTCATTGCGTTGACAAAAATGAGAGTTACGGTGTTGTGATAAGTTCTGATGATAACTTTAATCGAAGGGAAGAAAAACAAAAATGAAACATTTTCCCACAGGTGATTCTGGATCAATTTTCAGTTGTCTTTTGAATAGTGTAGTCAGAGTTTTCTGCAAAGGTTCATAGAGCTTTCTCTACACCAACAGTGAAAGCCGCTGTTTGCTGCTTAAAACTTATGAGATTCTGTCTCCTAAAACGTTTCAGCTACCGAGCCCAGATGTTGAGTAGGTCCATAACACATGCAAACCTTTTATTTTTGAGCCAAAACCAGAATCGGTGCCCAGATCCGAAATCTAAAGACTATTGGGGAAAGTGTTACCCTATACTTGCAAGGCTGAAAAGAAACCATGACACTAGATGACATACCATTTTTTTTCTAGGTGGGACCTCAGTCAATTGTATAAAAATCCTCATGCAGTCACTCGCTCTGTCCTTAAAAAAAATTAATGCACATGTTTAGTAATTGACTACAGGTGGCAGTGGTCTCAGGGGCCTTCCCCGTGGGACTGTCTGGGCGAAAAGAGGGGGGGGGGGGGTCTTCTCCAATGCGACCAGAAGCGACATCGACACCAACTCTAGGAGTGCACCGTCGTGATCCTGGAGGCGCGCTGCCGGCCGGCCGCCCGGCTGCTGCTGCAACGTGCTCTAGAAGTACGCCGTCACGGGCGAGAACACCCCA